GCCCCACAGTTACAACGACGAATGAGGACCGGTATTTGGCAGTTACTGCCAAAAGAAACAGGCGGAGCACAGCCTCAGACCTGTCTCGTCAGCTCTCTTCAGCCACTGGTTTTCAAGCCACGACAATTTCAAGGCAGACCGTGTACAGACGCTTAGGGCAGATTGGTCTATATGCTCGTAGACCTGTCAGATGCATTCCACTTACTGCAACTCACTGTCACCTGCGGTTAGCCTGGAGTAGAGAGCATGCATTGTGGACACCGCACCAGTGGGCTTGTGTGATGTTTTCCGACAAGTCCAGGTTTAGCTTGCAGTCTGATTCTCGCCGGACTTTCATATGGAGAGCTCCAGGTACCCGTTACCACCAAGAAAACATCATTGAACGACATTGTTACGGTGGTGCAAGAGTGCTCGTTTGGGGTGGAATTATTCTGGGTTCCAAAACTGACCTGCATGTTCAGATCGGAACCATGATAAGCCAAATATATCGGGACGTCGTTCTGGAACAACATGTAAGTTTGTTTCGGGGCGCCATGGGCGCACAATTTGTATTTATGGATGACAACGCCCGTCCTCACCATGCAAACATCGTAAGCGAATGCCTTCAATCGGAGGATATCTCCCGTATGGACTGGCCAGCATTCTCACCGGACTTGAATCCAGTGGAGCAAGTGTGGGATATGCTTCGCCGACGAGTTGCAGCCCGTCAACCTCCTCCTACATGTCTACCGTAATTTCGGAGAGCATTGCTTTTTGAGTGGTGTAATATCCCCCAAGATCAGATCGATAATATGATACTCAGCATGCCTAGGCATTGTACGTACTGTATTGCATCGTCTGGGAGACATACAATGTATTAACAATTATACCAACCATGTAATATTGGTTTTTTGTAAATAGGTTTTCTTTGTAATTTGCTCCAGGGAGAAAAAATCGCTAATTTGTTTAGTAATATCAAACATATAGCATATTTTTTTGCTCTTTACCTTTTGTTTTATAAATAAGCTTTACAAATAAGTCAAATTTGTTTTGCTTCTAACTCTTCCTTTGCCTGATTTTGCATTATCCTTAATTTACGGACATGAGTGACAATTAAGACCCTGCCAAAGACTTTATCCTCTTGAAGTTGAACTCAGTCCGGAATGTTCCGTAGTAAAATCTAGATATGGACGTATAATAAATCCAACTCAGAGATTGAATTTGTATTGAGACTTCGGTTGCATTCCTACACCAGAATGCAAGGTGGGAGGAAATGTCGCAACCCCCACAGTACAGAATGGAGTGATTCCAATTTAAACTCCGGGCATCTGCGCATACCTAGAAACTTGGATGACTGTAACTTCTTTTTGATTTATTGCTATGCTGTTTTTCCGTTAAGTGTCTCCTGTATTGAGTTTGAGTGTGTGTGTAAAATGATTAATAAATGGTGTGTGTAAACTTTTAGTAGCTTTTTGGATTTAAGAAGACAGCCTTCCCAGCGTCAACATCTATTTGCGAGCAAAGGGACAAAGTAAAAAGATTTAAGATTATTCTATTTGTTTCAACTGTTTAATTAGAATTTTGATTGCTCGTGAAATCCTCGAAGCTTCGTTTCAATTGATTTTATAAAAATTTATTCTATAGATTTTATACAAATGATTTTTATACAAAAGAAAATACTACAGTTTCACATTTAATCTCACTAAAATTATTTACATATACGCAAACTTCCCAACAGTATTTTCTGAAATTCCACACTGCTTAGTTTCTTGATCAAAGATTTTAATATAGAGCTTACTAGAGTTTAAATAATACTTTATAAACCCCAATATACCAATATAACATTGTAGATTTCAGTTTTTAATGTCCTTATATTGCGTTGGTAATATTACTAATTCTCAGCGAAACTTTATATTAATAGGTTAAATGTCCATTTATTATGCAGTAATAATATGTTTTCGAGCTAAAAGTTAATTTTTTATTATTATTCAGGAAAATCATTATGTTCAGTACTTAGAAGAACATGATAAACAAAATAACATCGACGTGGGAAATTTTTATTGCAGAGTTCTTACATTTATTTTTCTGCCCCCTTCAAGCCTAAAAGTGACAAATACGGATCGGCTTTCACTTCTGAAGATATCTCCGAAACTCGAAATAAACAGCAATTTTAAAATCCTGTATAGAAAAGATGAGTTTCTTTTACTGCTGAAACATTAAACCTAAATTACTCTCAGTCAAGGTCTTTTTTTATTCTTAAGTAGTAGTATTCCTTGACATGTCAGAATTAAGAAAAATGGGACTGTTGATAGATACCATGTTTGCTGCAGATATTTTATACAAGTGATCTACACTTTTTTATGCTGAAAGGAGTGCTGACAAGAATATTTTTCTTTACACACTAAAAGTTCTGGAGTGCACTGCAAAACTTCAAAAACAAAGCAATAATAAATTTTAGATACAAATAGAAGTTTGAGTTGTTGCCAAATCGGCCCTTTACTTAAGGTTAAAACAAAAAAGAACATATAAATTTGTATTATGTCAGAAATTTGTCAATTATATTACAGTTTTAACACGCACACGAGTTCATTCAATACTCATCTTTTCAGATCAGTATTTTCAGCTCTCTTCTCTCATTACACACGAATAATGATTGCTTTACGGATAAAATCATCATTCATGTAGAGTGACTTTTCTCAAGACATAGTAAGCTACGATTTAGTTTTTCAAGATATACAGAATGTTATTAATTTTTTAAAAGGTTACATTTCTATTTATATATCTATGTGTACATACAGGCATATATATACTTGCATACATACATACATACGTTTATCTATATTATATATGGTTATAGAAACCGAGAGCCAATCGTGGGCAGAGTTTATTACCGAATAATAAGAAAACATAACGATAGTAACGATTAAAGTATAATAATACGGATAATAACAAAAAAATGAAGTTACAAAATGTTTATATCTAAAAATAAGGAAACTTATATGTAGTCATACCTGGGAAATTGTCAAAACTATGTTGGTAAATGGTAATTATCAGAATTATGGTTACATATGGAAAATATGGAAAAGGCAAATAGTATAAAAGTAAATTGTAGAAAAAACAAAAATCAATACCCACACATTGCAAATGGGAAACTGAATTAAAAGTAGTAATAATAAAAATGCTGTTAGCATATATTTTAGACTATTTTCATTGTATTTACAGAAATATTTTAGCTAAATATTTTTTATTTCAAATATTCTGTTTGATAACCCTTATCGTTCACAGTCTTTCGACACCGTTATTTCATTTCCTAGACAATAAAGCCTTTTGTAATATCGGAAGAGGTTTCATCCCATTCCTCTTGAACAGCTTTCCAGAGTTCAAGTAGGGTTGTTAGTCGACATTTGGACAATCCACTTTTGAAAAGTCCAAAAGCGCATAAATCCGTGAATGATACATCAGGAGAATTTAGTAGGATATGAATGAAGGGTTTGGCCTTGATACACGTTTCTTGTTCCATTTTTTCCAAGAAATTAGCAGTGGATTTTGACGTGAGGGTGCTTGCTTTGTCTTTGATGACAAGGTAAAAGGAAGTTATTTCATATTTGAAAAATGGATATAAAATATGTTCCTGATAATACATGGAGTTGATCTTAAAGTTTTTCTCTACTCTCTTTATTTTTAATTTGCCATTATGCAAAAAACCAGAAACAATCATAAATCCCTTTGAAAAACTTTCTTTACATTCTTTGAACTATGTTCTAAGTCTTTTCCTTCTCTTAGACGATGATAAATAAATCTATTTTATTGCGATTATTTAAATATACCCACGTTTCATCTATTGTGACAACAGTTTCCAATTTTGCCCGGATAAATATTTCTCATAAAGAATTTTTCAGCGGGTTCTGCTATCGGCAATATGTGGCTGAGATAGACGATGCACATTACATTTTTTCGCCTTTTTAAGATTCAAATCAGCATTAATCACTTTGTTTAAAGTTAACTCTGAGTATTTTAATGATTTTGTAACTGTCTTTTAACTTTGCGGATTTTCTTTTAACATCAAATACCTTACCTTTACAATATTTGAAACATTCCTTTTTGATTCGCGATGTTTCTTTCCTTTTGCAAAAAAAATTGAGATGTTATGCTTTCACCCAATCAGCATCAAATTAAATAACTTGAAGGAGATTTCTTTGTTGGTAACTTGTAAAACTCTGCTATGTGCAGAAGCTTAAATCAGATCTTTCTTCAGATCCTACTAGACTGAAAATGTACTGAAGAGATAGATTTCACTTCAATAGAATAGATGGATTACTGCAGTGTTATTCGATAGAATTTTAATTTTAACAATACATTAAATTTAACTGCGCTATCAATTCATCAAAACTTAATTCTCTTATCCATACTGTGAACTTCAATCTACTAATCACCAATGTCTATTGACTCAGTGACAATCACATTCGCCTTTTTCGTTTTGCTAATTTTGTTCTTATAATTTATCTAATTGATGGAATTTTAAATAAATTTAATTTAAAATATGTCTAATTAATAATTTTCGTGAAAAAATTTCAGCATTATTCCATTTTAAAAAGGATGTTTCTAAAAGACATATATTATAAACCTGATTGAATAACCCTCGGATTAATGATTAATATATAAGTATCAACAAATACCTTATCTCCTAGAATTTTCCGATTTGTTCTAATATCCATTCAATTAATTACTTTGCTTTTACATTTTGTTTTAGCCTTATTGTTTTTATCTTCATATCATCCGGTAAAATTATCTCTTTTTCTTATCATCCGAGTTACGCTTGAAAATGTTCAATCTGTTTCGATAATTTATAGTTTTGAAGTGACATGAGAAAAAATTTCGGTTATCATATTAAAAGAAATCGTAATTTTTAAATGTAATTTCTGTTAATTTCTTTTTATGAATAAGTGGATGGTATTTACATAAAGTGATATCTAAGCAAACATAATTAAATTAAACTTCTTAAAGCATTTATTTTCTTTCAGATAGAGCTTCATGTGCATTTGGACGGAAGTGTACGGTTGACTACGATCTGGGAATTAGCTGAGTAAGTCGCTGCTATCAGTGCACTTTTTGAATGCAACATTAAATAAATTTACTAATATTTGACCAAATGAATGGGCTGTTTTTTCTGTACTACCATGTTTTCTTGAAAATAAAATTAGGTCTTATATTAATTTTTTTAAAGTCACATTGTTCTAGGAATTGTTTTCAAACTATGCCTTTATTTTTTATATACAACAGTTTACGTTTATTTATTTGCAACAATTTACATTTATTCATATATTTTCGGTACAAGAATTTACATTTATTCATACATTCATGTAAAAAATTTACATTTCTTCAAATACAATCTTATCACCTTCTTCTAGAACATCATCATAAATTTCCAAACCCCCATATTCCGGCCTGAAAGGATTGCGATGCCACTTCCTATAAAACCAAAGTCTGTAATCTCTGAAATTTAGCAATAGAGTTCTTTTTAAATAAACATTTCTTGTTCATGTAACCTGCTCTAAGATCATTGACCACGTAACTGCCAATGGTTTTATCCCAGAAATTCTCCACTCGAATTCTCAATCTTTTGCAGACTAAGCTTAAAAATTTTTCTGATTTCTCTTAATTATATCTTCAATGTATCTGTTTATTTCCCGCCATCAATAGTCTGGAGATACACGATCATTCCTGCGGCGGGAATAATTATTTAGTCTATTCATCTATCAGTAAGGAAATTCTTCATGTCTTCAGCGCAGTGAGTACTTGCTGAATCCCAGTCTATCAGACTTTTTGATAACTTCGAAAAACGAATGGTAGAATTTTCTTTTAGCTGCGTACAAGCAGTTATATTTACCCACTTCCATACAGTTGCTTGCGTCCAACAGGCCTTTTTCTGTTTCAAGACATAAATGCCTAAAACACGTTGTCTGATCTTTATTGCCCTTAATACTTAGGTAAGTCTTTCTTTCTATCCATATGAACTGTCAAAATCTAGGTAGCACGTGCACCTTTCGTAATAAGTGAAGGGAATGTAGATGAGGTCCTTTCTGATCAATTGCTGTTTCAGATGTCTGATTCATAAACTCATACAGATTTATTCATAGCAGTCATTTTAGAGAGTTTATATCTCGAAAATTCAAAGCCATCAACAAAAGATTCGAATGTAAATGCACGTTTCGTAATTTCCCTGGTTTTTCAGCTTGAATAGTATTGTTGATTTACTTACAGATAGTTCAAGTCATTGAAAAAAGGCTTTCATCCAGAGCTATGACTCTTTGAATTGTTCTAGGAATTGTCTAAAAAAGGTATTATGGCAAAGAAAAATCCTTGAACATCAGCTCTGCGAACAACCAGATCTTAGTTCTTCTTCAATAAGTGATATCTTCCAACTCAGGAAATAATGTGTGTCAAGCTGATTCACACTACATTTTTTTATTTTAAGAATTTAAAATTTTCCAGTGTTACTCTGCCTACTTTGTAAATTTCGTGAAATTATATCATTTCTTCAGGAACGGGGGCTACCAACGGCTGAGCGGTGAAATCGCTGAACACTGCTAATTTTATCGAAGTCTGATTATATAAGAGATTTTGTGATTTTCCTCATATGTAACCTGAATACGTGATAGTTACCCTTGGGAAGCCCTTCACAAAGACTGTAGGAGTTCTGCTACGTTTAGTACCTTAACTCAATGTCTTTTCTGACCCTACTAGATAGCCAAGGGAATTATCACTTTAATCTGAAACAAATGATAAAATTAAAATTATCTTTTTATTTAACTCTTGAAACTCCTCACTTGTGCTACTGACGAAACTTCGCTACTTACGGGTATTTAAAATTACAAGCTGGCAAAGCCGGCAAGTTAGCAAGACGGTCAAAGCTGGAATAATTTTCGGAAAGCTGGCGATAATACGTAACTGCAGTGCGAAACTATCAGAGGCGGTAATTCTAAAACATTTAAACCTTCAACTTATATACTCGACAACTAATTTGTAAGGACTGTGGGAAGAAGAAGTAAATTTTCATATCATAAAACTAGTTAACAAAGCAGCCCTTACCCTAAGCAGATAGCTGTTAACTGCTTTGACGTAATTCAAATAACGAATTAATCCTCAATAAAGTAAGATCAGGAATCCAAAAATCACCATTTTTAGAGCTTCAGAATGCATGCGTGAAATAAAAATGCTTCTCCCTTTCTCGATATAATGACCGCGATTGACGAAACACGTGTCTTTGTTTACCTTCTGGGGCTAAAAGTCCTTGAATACCTTAATGCTTTAGGATGTTTAATCAGATGTTCAGTGAAATCATGAGAGAGAGAAAGAGGGAAAAATAAAGAGGGAGCTCTTTAACGGGTGTTTCGACTATGCTGAGATACTGAAGTTTGATCGTAGCAACATACAAACTGGCTGTATTCCTCCTCTCCCCTCCTCCGGTGAGGCTAAAAAATGCTCGTGAGAGCAATTAAGAATCAATTAAATTACATTTATACGAACTTTTAAGAAAAAAGATATCTGTTTCTTTGCTTGCTATCATTCTGAGAACATACAGTCTAGAAAACAATTTTTAAAAAATCTACAGCATAAATAATAATTACAGAATAAATAAAGCTGTAACATAATTAGCATTATGTCCTCTAAGTATTGATTTTTATTTGAGTAGTTTGGAAAATATATCCACAGCTATAATTTTCAGAAGTGCATCAAGTGTCAGAAATACATTTTTTTTCCAATACTATTTTTCGTATGCTGTGTTGATTTCTACAGTTTATTTGATTTTCGACACTGAATTACAGTTTTTATGCTTAAAAATATGCTGCAATTGAACATTATGGAAAACATTACAATTTTTTCTTCATTTCAAAATTTATAATCATTTTTAGTTTTATACTGAATTATTACTTGCAGAAATGATAGATTTCATTGATGCTTGGAACCCAAGCACGAAGAGCAAAAACGTCTGAATAAATTAAATAGTTGACATCAGCATTTGAACGTCTAGAGATCTCCTTTAAGCAATAGACAATTCAGGCATGAAAAAGTGATAGTTCATCTGAGACTAAACAGGAGTGACGCATAGTTCCATGTTCTGTGTAGTTAAGTTTTTGATCCGTTTGGTGGGAAACATGTATTTATCAAACAAAGCAGTTGGACATTGTATATTAATTTTGCATTGCTGACTACATCTGTAAGTTTCTCAGGCGTCTGCGTCGTATCCTTAAGCCATTTTGCTGTTATAATATGATTACAACTAAGAAAATAATGAAGTATGAGGTCGAAAGCATCGCATATTTATCATCTCTTTCTGAGAAGGAATGGCTTTTTATTATTTTCTTTAGCTTTTAATTGGCCATTGAAAAGAAAGTCTGCTGTTACTGCGCTAGATCCGTTTTTCATCAATAATGCCAATGAGCTGCAAAATTTCGATTAATATCAATACAAGAAGGAAAGGTCTTGTATTGATTGTATAAAGTCTTTGGCATTCATTGATTTATAAATGCAGCAATTATAAATCAAACTTTGGTCGGAATTCAGTTGGTGAAAATGGAAATTGGGCGAAATTGAGTGGGAAAATAGTGATACTTCAGATTTCAATAATATTAATAGAGCAAAGTGATGAACTCAGGATTTCATTTCAAATACTGATTTGTGAATGTTCTAATATAAGCCTATTAAAATCTCGATGCATCTGATGTTTTTAATACCTCATTTCATCTTTATGGTAGTCTTGTCGAGAAGTAAAATAACAAATCAGTGCCATGTGAATTTCCAAATTCGCATTTTTTGCTGTAAGCTAGAGCTCCAGTACAGCTGCCTCAAACTGCACGAGTTGAAAGCAGTCATTTTAGCTGCAGCTGACTCGTATTAAACCATTATTTAGATCAAATATCCAAAATAATGTTTAATAATTGGAAATATTAGCTCTAATTATTAACTTTAACTAATTAGAAATGATCATTTAAAATTAGAATGCTAATATTAACTGTGTTAGTCATAACAAATAAATAAATAAATAAATAAAATAAAAATAAATAAAAGTAAAATATAATTTTGTATGAAAATACATATTATATATGCATAATAAAACTTACAAATTCTTACAAATAAATAATATATTAATTAAATAGGTTATGAAAATTATCAATTCTCAGAGGTTGAATTCGTTGAAATACATATTGACAAGAAAAATGATGCAAATATTTTTTTTTATCTTGAAAAGAGGTACATTCCATCTTGCTATTTAACAAAATTAAGCTTTTTTTTATTAAAATCTAATAAAATTTAAAAAGTACATAAAATAATGACTTCCAATTAGTTGCGAAACAATTTAAATTGACATTCGTTCAAAAACAGTTTCCAAAACAGTTTTAATTGATATTCGTTCATTAATTAGAAAAAGCTTATATTTCCAGATGTCCGTGTGTTCACGGGACCCCTTCCAAGCGCGAGGCCCCTGGCGGCCGCCAGGTTTGCCAGCCATTTAACCCGCCCTTGTTTCTAAAGTCCTAGTTTTTCATTCTGATTTCCTTTTTTGAAAGCTTTGCTATATTTCAGACAGCACTAGAAATTCATAGCTGAAATTTTGTGCTCGCCAAGATAAACAGCCACATGAAGTAAAGAAGCTGTTTTATACACCAAAGCCATTGAAACTGAAATTCATTGGCTGTTTCTAAACTGATGCTCTTTCTAATTGAAAGAGCTTATTGCGAAGGGGCAATTTTTATTTTGAATTTCAGAAATTTAAAATATTTATGATTTTTTATACTTCTAACATCCTTCTTTTAATTATTACAATGCATTGCTTAAGGTGATTTCACTAGTAGATCAGATAAGCATAGTCTCAACTTAAAATCCTGAAGAAGAAAACTGTTCTTAATTCTGTTATATATGACGATTTTAAAATGATATGACTGTCGCCCATAAATTTTCATCGAAAAATACTATATTAAACGGTTTAAGACAGCTAGCCTTGACTGACTGAGTGTTGCTAAATTCCCCAAATTTTGTGTTATTTTATTTTTCAAATAGTTATTTTCATTTTGCTATCTTTACTGGCTGAACATGAATTTAAATTGAGCTGTTTTGGGTTAACGATTAACATTTAATACTTTCACTCTTCCTGACGCAATAATTATCTATCTTCTTTTAGGAAAAAAGGTTTCGACTTGAAGGTAGAAACATTAGAAGATCTATATGATGAATGCTGTATGAAAAGCCCGTCTACATTGGCTAAATTTCTGAAACCTTTTAATATCATACAGCCGTGCATTGCGTAAGTATTGATATTTTATTATAATTGTCCAATAGTTGATGCATTAGAACAGAGCTAATTATTCTGCTTATTAGTCCCCAAACAACTTTAATTCGATGTATTACATTTAAAATAGTAATTTTAATGTTTTTATAAAGAAGTAACGAAATAAAATTATAATTAGTTATAATGATCCTCATGCTGTATTAAAAGAGGATGTTATAGCCATTTTAATGTATTCTCATCAGCTGAACAGATCACTGTTATGATTTAATCACTATAGCAAAGAGTAGTCATAGCGATGTAGCGATATTGCAGAATATCATGGAAGTGTAATGTCGTAATCTCTTTGTAAATACTAAAGTTTAGAGTAGAAATGTGAGGTTTGAATCTGATTATTTAACTTAAGCAAAGCACACGAGGCTATCAGCATAAACGCCGCTCTAAGCTTAGCCAAAAGTCTTCTGAACGATAGAATCATGTGTGTCATATTTTCTATCCTCCTCTTGAGAAGATTGTCGACACTTGAGAAGATTGTCGACTTGAGAAGATTGTCGACTTTAAACTGACTGCTAAGGTTGTTTCGGAAGTTACATAGAAAATGCTGATGACATAAATCAGAATAAGAAGGTTTCTATTTTAATAATTACGTTTCTATCAGATTTCTACAACTAACTACATAAATTTCATTCCACTGAAGTTATTTTTCCTGAGATGCAGTTAAAATGGAGAAACCATACCAGAAATACAAAGATTGCTTTTAAGTTGACATATTTTAAACGTCTCCAACGAAAAGGTGTTTTAGACGACTAGTTGCAAGCTGCAGTGACAGTCGAGATTGCTCTAAACACCACATTATCCGGAGTGACAGTAGAAAAGTAAGATTAAACAACAGCAATGTAAACATACAATTATCATTCACTCTTAGTGAAGTAAAACTGTAAATTCTATGCAAAAAAGAGTTATCTTCAAAATATTACAGAACGTAAAGGGGATAAAATGTACGTCCACTGAAAGTACGACTATTTTTTTCAACACTTAAAAGCATTTTTAAAATACTTCAAAATTTTGGTGTCTGTTCTGCATATTTCTACGAGTTATAATATGCGGCTGAGTTTGAACATTTTTACATTGCCCCACTAATCCTCATTATTGAATCAGGTACTTTAATAATCATAGATATTTTCCTTTTGTATAATTTTAATGAATAAAAAAATTTTAATGTCATATTTTATTGAACTACATAGAAAAAGTTAAGTTAAATAAATGAATTTGACAACTTTGTAACGCTGTATATACTTAGGGTTAAACTATGACGAATGGAAGAATTGAAAAGCGGAATGGATACTTGAAAGGCAAGCCAGTATTTGAAATAATATCTTTCTGTTGCAATACATCTTTCCTAGGGTTTTTGAAAATTTTTTATCCTGTATCCATTCTCCAATCGCTGTGATAACACTTAGACATACTGATACTTGAAATTGGACTATAAAGGGATGAAACAGTACTTCTCATTCAACAATACGGAGCAGACATCACTTTCCATATTGTGTAGAACTCTAATCATACTTTGGAAGCCTGAAACCATTTCTCTGACTAAAAACTTAAAAATTAAAAGTAATTAAAAGTTTCTAATTTCTCAGATTTAATTTCGTAAAATGCATTTAAACATTTAAAAAATTTCTGAGCTCTTCATTGTAGCAGCAAAGAGAAGTGATTGAAACATGAGATGGAAAACTTTCGAAACTGCAGAATTTCTTGCTGTTTGCAAAGCTGTATTTCACTGTTAAAATATCTGTGATGTGAAGATATTTTTGATTTTTCATCTCTTAATACTGTAATAATAATATGATATTAGTGTGATAAAAACACAGTATGTTTTCGAATTTAATACTTTGATATATGCTACAGTTAAAAAATTTTTAACAAAAGATTTTCTTAGAATCTTTAAGGACTTCTTAAATTTAGGATATGAAATTAATGTTCTTTCATGCTTGCATTTATGCTAAAAGCGAAAGAAAATGGGAGAAAATCGAGAGCACGTTTCACATTTTGCCTTGGCGGAAAATGTTAGCGTAATAACTCAGCGGTGGAATGTCAATAGCAAAATGAAATATCACCGTAAAAATATTCTTCGAAACAAGAAATGTATTGGAGTTTTCAAAATCTTGATCTGAAAATTCATAAGAGACAACTGATCATTTAGAAGTTAAGTAAATCAATTAATTTATGACAGTAAATATAATTAAGGAATTATATTACTTTGTAGTTAATTTTAAAAGAGCTGAAAAATTTTGATTTTTGAAAATCAGGAATTCGAATGAAATAGTTAAAGTCTCACGCATGACTTAGTTAACTGAGAATTAATTTATTCACTACTTTCTTCAGTTATAGAAGATTTTTTTAAACCAGTTATTTGATTTTATTTCTTACCTAAAGGTGGAGAGAATTTTATCTTTACCTTTTTTTTTAAATTAAAAAGCAATTTTAAGAAATTGTTAACATTATTTCAAAATTTCCAAATCAAAGAATATTTCCATAGCAATATTTATGAAGTTAATTTTTATATCATGAAATCCACACTTTAGACCTCCATTCAAGATGAGAAGCTAATTTTTATGTATACATAAATCCGTTTTTACTTAAACTGACTGCTAAGGCTGTTTCGGAAGCTACATAGAAAATATTGATGACATAAATCAGAATAGGAAGACTTCCATTTTAATAATTGCGTTTCTATCAGATTTCTGAAACTAACTACATAAATTTAATTCCACTGAAGTACTTTTCTTGAGATGCAGTTAAAATGGAGAAACCATACCAAAAATATAAAGTTTTTTTTTTAAGACTGGATACTGAACTTTTCTTCACCTATTCAATAGTAAAGAAATGAGTAATTTTTCATATGCCAATGCAGGATTATTGCACTGAAAATTTCTTCCAGCTAGCATTGTCGAGCATTTTTAAAACTAATCTAGTTTATTTGATGGTCAATGATGAAAGATGGGAATGGGCTCTTCAAATGGGGTGATTATTAAGCAAAACTATTGCTCATTGATGTTCATCCTATTATTTTTAATATGTCAATGTTAGAAATGAAGATACTAACTTTGTATTTAGGCAAATTTGCTTTAAGTTAACATTCCATACTGATCCAAAGAGGTTACAAAAAATAAACAAATATTTCAGTGCAAAATTGAATTTTCTTGGAACTGAGTATGCATTGATTGTGTTAGTAAAATGATATAAGATTAGATAAACATCATTTTAGAACTTTTCCAATCACAAAAACTATAGTTAAATTTTCAATTTCAGTTGCAAATATGACAAAAATTTGGTTTGCACATTATGCTAAAAATTTCTTCACCATCACATTAAAGTTAAATGGATATCATGCTTTCGATTGTTTATAAGATTTCATCTTTAATTGGATAAAATTTTATACAAGTTTATGCAGTTTTTTAAATATGAGTCTGGAAATAAATAAATGCGCTATTAAATATTAAGGAAACTAGTACTTGTCCAAAATGGAAGGAATTAAATTCTTTACTTAAATTCCTTTAACCTAATTTTCTTGTGTGTGCTTTTTTACAGCAATTCTTCTCAATATCTTAAAGCCCTTAAAAATCTTAACAAATAAAACATGTAGAATACATCAAAATAAGATTAGTTTGGTTATGCAAGTTTTTAAAGTTATTTTATTGTTTATTTTATGTTATTGCACTCTAGAGGGGATCCTATAGCCATCGAGAGAATAGCCTACGAATTTTGCGAAGATGCAGTCTCCCAAGGAATTTTATACGCAGAAGTTCGTTATTGCCCTCATCTGTTTTCTTCAATGCATGGATTCGCAAGAGGAGGCCAATCAGATCCTCTTACACCAAGAGAAGTGGTGATGTGCGTAAATAGAGGTCTTTCTAGAGGCGCAGCAGATTTCAATCTGTCTGTTAGAAGCATTTTGTGTTGTTTTCGCAGCCGTCCAGGTATATTTTTTCTTGGAGAGTTTAAGAAATTTATGTACGTCAATTTTGTTTACTACATATAGAATTATGACGGTTGTAATTCACGAATACATAAGTTTGTAATAGAAACAAATGGAATGTAAACTGACTACAAGTTCATCTTTCTGTCTGTGAAAACTAAAAGTCAGTAAACGTTACGCGACGTTTTTACTTCTTTAAAACTTGAAAAATCTAATAGTCTCATCTCGATCGATAGTTAAGATCCGGAAGTTGAGAAAAAAAATAATTTAAATGAAACCAATTTTTTTGCTTGAATAAAAGGACATATTTTCAGAGAGAATAGCTAATTAATAGTTCTTGATTAGAAAATTCGGTTGGTCCTGTTCGTTTTTGGATTTCCTAATTCATAATTCAAATGGATCTTTTGAATAAGAAATATACTTCATGAATATTTGAAATCGGATATATCATTCTGCATGAATATCATCATATTGTATAAAGTGCATCATATTGCACTCATGTTTTAAAAATAGATGTTTTTTTCCAACCGATACGCTATCCGTTGAGATAAAGTATGAGAGAGTTGAACAACAACAACACAGTTATTCGTTATTCTAAAAACGTTTTACAAAATAAAGAGATTTTAGCTTAAATAGTGGAAATATTAATGTTTTATTTAAAACTACTAGAATACAAACTTAGATGGACATTGTGTTTACATATTGATTCTTCTTTTCAAAGAAACATTCTCAGTTTACCTCGAAGTACGCAGAGATTTCCTAAAAATATAAAATCAATCTGCAGTAGTATTTTATTTGATTTTAAATTTCAAACTGAAGTACTTTTCTTCAATATTATTAAAAATTACTTGGTATTTAGTCAAATTTCAGAAATATTTGTTTAAAAATTACAAGATATGTCATTCATTAAGTTATTAGAAATTTCGATCGTATTGTTGTAACAATTTGTTCTTGAAATATTTTCTGAGGTTTAGGTTAGTTAATGTATTACCTGGATGAAAACGAAATTAAGTTTCCAGTGAGAGTTGGGTCTCTTGTTGTAATGTAAGGAAATTAAAGCATCTTTCCGTGTGCCCTTGCTATGTAGAAAGTAGTGCATACAGTACGTAAACGGAAAGTTTCGGGTTTGATTCACTCAAAGGCACAGCTGATTTCTCAAAAGTTCTGTTTTCAAAAGGATTTATGATTTTATGGAAACTATCAGAGTAAAATGGGACGAGCGATAACTCGTCACCACTTAGAATTGGCAGATTAGAGCCTGACCTTCTCTTCGCAGTTGCCCTTTGATTGTTATATATGAGTAAGATGTAAAAATAAGAGATACATTTGTCTTGCTTACCGTAGCGCATATAAATTGTGTGCAGAGAAGGAGCAGCCTACTGAGGCTTCATTATCAAATATGAAAATTTTCAGAGATATCAAAGATAATTTCAAAGGATTTTTTCGGTAGAGATAATAATTTATTTTAAAATGTTACATACATATTTTTAAGAGAAACTTGCGAAGGAATTCGTTGCATTAAACTACTTATTCACATTTAACCTGGGGATATATATGTATATTATTATTTATATTTAAACTGTTTTAAATAACTGACAATGGAATCTTATTGAACATATGCGTGCAAATTATTCAAAGTGAATACGCTATTTTTGTTACTGAGGAGTATGTTCTCGAATGAAATGGATGACTTGAATATATGCATAATACTTTTTCAAGTGCTAGTGCTTTTGTTTCCTTTCTTTTATCACACAGGACTATCATCACTCTCAGACATATCCCGGATGTGCTTTAATTAAAACTTTTGTTTCCTAGAATGGTCAAATGAAATCTTGCAACTGTGTGTGGAATTCCAGAGGATGGGTGTGGTAGGAATTGATATCGCCGGCGACGAAGCAACGAGTTTAGCGGCACCGGAAGACATCGAGGTTTTCAAGGTAATTCACATTTCCAGTATCTTAAGTTTTGAAAGTTTGATATGAAGTTTCCACGTCAGGAATTTCGAGTTTAAGTTTTGATGAAGATATCTTCGAAAGCATTCAGACTTATACACTTTAAAACATTTTATTTTATATATTAATGCGCAGGAGATTTTTTATAAGTCTTTGTGACGGTTTTTAGTTTGTACAGGTAACTAATAAATTTTTTGAAGCAGGAAACAGAAACAAAAAAATAAGATTTGTTCTTGGTGGTATTCGAATCATGGTCTTTCATTTGCTAGCTAGACCTGCTAACTATTTACTTCATGAGAAGACGCACCGAAAAGTTAGATGCTTCCTTAAAAGGTCATTCTTTCCAAAATGTTTGTACCATTACATTACATCAGATTACACTACATGCATTTATCACCCACGTGATTTGGCAAGTATTACAATTGAGCCAAATATAAGATTTTTAATTTACTTTCCACGTGACAAAAATAATAACAAGTTTCTAAAATCTTGCCATTTGATATAACGTAAGATCCTAATTTATCTTTTAATTGTAACTGATTAACAAACTCAGAGATTTAAAAGCAACAAACGCACTTCTTAACAATTTAAATCTTTTTTTAATATATATGCTATACTTTAAAATTCAATTAATAAGATATTTCTCCCGCTTTCCTGGCGTGTCTTCGTGGTGTAGTGGTTCTGCACGCTGGGCCGGTATTCCAGAGGTCCGTGGTTCGATTCCCGGCGAAGGCGACTGTTAATTTTTCCTCTTGCCTGCTTCCAAAAATATCTAATGTTTCTACAGTGCCCCCCCCGAACTAAAAGGGTGTTGGATGAGGATTCTCCACACCCAGGATTTGGCGATTGGGCCCCTTAAAAACCACATTCGCCCTTTAATAAGGGGAGTATATAAGGTATTTCTCCCTCCTTCCTATTGTGCCTTCGTGGTGTAGTGGTTCTGCACGCTGGTCCGGCATTCCAGAGGTCCGTGGTTCGATTCCCGGCGAAGACGACTGCTAATTTTTCATCGCTCCCGCTTTGAAAAAAAAAAAAAAAAAAAAAAAAAAAAAAAAAAAATACCTAATGTCTCTACAACTTAATGTATTTAAAACTTTTTCTGACATTCATAGCACTGTTGAAATTATCTAAGAAACTTTCTCATACCATATATTAATGATCTCATAACGGAAAGGTTTAATACTCAACTGGGTGTAGATAAAATATTTTAAAGAGAAATATATTTTTAAATGTGAAACATTTTTGAAATTTTGCCGCATTAATAATGAATTTCATAACAGTGATACTGAAATAAAAACTGTGAATTTCTAAAAAAAATATTAGAACTTCAGCTATTTGAGTATTCGGTACCTATTACACTTCTGAAATAAATTCCGAAAAGTTACCCATATAAAGAATTAAAATTTTTTTAAAAAATATTTGCAAGCTCCTAGCTGAGATTTTATGAGTTAGACGTATAAAGTATTACTAATATCAAGACCGCATTGAATCATATACATTAATATATTATTCAATATAGTCTAGCTTTTACTTTTCAAATATTGCCCTTAAATGCTATTCTAACTTAATTCAAATTTGTCCATCAGTGAAACATAATTTAAAAATGTGATGGGGCCAGTTTAATGTGCCCAATGACCTGCTACCCATTCCAAGTTTTTAATTGCTTTAAATAGAATCATTACGGTTGACCATTTATAAATAAAATTTAAGTGCAGACCTATCTGTTCATTTGTATCGAATATTCTAAATTCAACTGGAAAGACTTCAACGAAATGTTGAAAAAGGAAGGCCTCACGAACTTCACTGCTAAGAAAAAAGATGACGGGCAATCCGAAATACACACAAAAAAAATCGGATACACATCCATAAATGACTTCCCTTTTTAAAACTCATGATCTTTCGTACCACTCATACGTCCTCCCTGATGAGTCACCTCCTAATGACTTCACCTTAAAGTGGTCATAACTTATGAACCTTAGGCCGCAGCATAAAATTAATCCGGTTACAATTTTGACATGGAAGACTCAAAACCTCACTAACAAAGTAGGAGAATAACAAGACTTTATGCATACACATAACATCGACATTGCCCTCAACACAGAAACACAGGCTACGATGGCACACTCACTTCGTATACCAAATTATCGCAGCTGCATTTGCGATAGAATTAGACATAGAGAAGGAGGAGCACTCATTTATGTAAAAAGCAGTTTCAACTCAAGCTTCCATCATGCTGACAATAGCAAAGGATTTGAAGAGGTTAGGGCCATTGTGCACATTCCAAACTGGGGCGGCGTGACTGTGTGCGTCTTTTATAACCCCCCTCATTTAATCTCCAAGACCAACAAATTATTAATCTACTAAGCAATCCATTTCCTACATTATTAGGTGGAGACCTAAACGCCAAGCGCACAAGCTGGGGATGTCGTAAGACAAACAAAAACGGTGAAATTTTGTACAACTCCTTTTCAATAATCCATTTTACTTGCACCACCTAATGACTTCACATTCCGCGCTACTAATATTAGACAATATCCAAACATCCTAGACCTTTTTTCTCTTCTCTACAAACTTCCCCATCGCTACGGAAGTGATAAATGATCTATCACCAGATCGCGTACCAGTCTTTTCGCACTTGGGAGTCTATAAAGTTGAAAAGGAACATAGCATTAAAATTACGGATTGGACAAAATTGCAAAACCTCGCAAGCAAGCAAATCCCATTTACTGCCCCCCTCTCATCAAAACCGTAGAGGATATTGTTAGTTATAGGAGTTATTCAAAATATTACTAATCACATAAATAGCGCCTTCAAAAATGCTACTGTGGAAATAATCACAAACAAAAATCATTTAAAATTTCCCCACGACATAAAATATGATACGCGTACGCAACAGACTTCGTAAACTTTACATGTATTCACGTGACCCGACATTGAAGTCATTAATCAATAGAATGAACAATCAGTTAAAAAATCATCAGTTAAAAAAAAAACTAATTGATGAACACCGCACCGCCATGTGAAATAACAAGATTGATAACCTTAATGTAGAGGATGGCGCATTTTAGAAAGGTATTAGAAAGCAGAAAGCAAACAGAACAGAACTAAGAACGTGCCCCTGAGGAAAAACAGCGAACACTTATACACGGATGAGGAGAAGGCAAACACTTTTGCTAAACATTTTACCGAACAATTCACACCCAACGCAAATCCTTCTGACCCAAACTTCATTGAATATGTAAATAACACGATTGAAAGATGTCTTCTTCAAACCCCGCCAGGAATTTACCAAATTATACCACTCCAACTGAAGTTAGCAATATTATCTCAAAATTACACAACCTTAAAATCCCGGGTAAAGATAATATCTCAAATGAAATGGCCAAAAATCTACCTAGAAGATACATCCCCAAACTAAGTGGGATTTTCAATGCATGCTTCTTTATGAGCGAGTTTCCAAAAGCATGGAAATACGCTACTATAATTCTCATCCCCAAGCCAGGAAAAGATTATACACGGGTAGAAAACCACCCTCCGATAAGTCTACTACCAACGCTAGGCAAAATCTTCGAAAAAAATCACTTAACAAACGCCTGGATTCAGTACTGAGCTCGCTGCCTTAGCAGCAGTACGGTTTTTGAAAGGGGCTTTCCACATCCATGCAGCTCGTTTTTATAAGTGCGGCAATTCATAAACATCAAACGACAGCTTTCCTTATGCTAGACATGGCCAAAGCTTTTGACCGCCTCTAGCATAACGGACTCGTATATAAAATGACCCCGCTCCATGTCACAAGACACATGTTTCTTATTCATTCATCACCAATAGGTCATTTAGTATCAGATGCGGTAAATACTACTCTCCACACAAACAAATCCAAGCCGGTGTTGCTCAGGGTTCAAATTTAGGTCCCCTCTTATATCTTATCTAAGCAATGGATCTTTCGTTATTTGATGATAATAACAACTGTTTCACAGCATGTTTTGCTGATGATACAGCCATCCTCTCATGTTCTCTCAGTCCGGAAAATGCCGTCAAACGCATACAGAGGCGGATGCATTCGAAAACCGTGCTGCTGAACATTGGCGTCGGAAGTGGCGGATCAGTATAAATGCCTCTAAATTCCAACTATTACTTTTAGGGCACCACCGAAGGAAAAATGTAGATTTCGAACTGATCTTATTCAACGAAACGGTTCCAAAAGTCAGCAACCTGTTTAGGGGTTCGCTTTAATTCTACCCTGACTTGGCCCACCAGCGGCCGAGCGGTAAAGTCGCTGAACACTGGTAGTTCGGTCCGAGGTTCGAATCCCGCGAACGGGCTGGCTGCATGGGTGTTTTCGTGGTTTTCCCCATGTGTAACGTGTATACGAGGCAGTTTCCCTTAGAAAGTCCTCCACGAAGGCATCCCTCCCCTTAGGCAGATAGCCCTAATGTGCTTTTCCATAATTAAATACACACACATACACACACACTACCCTGACTTGAAACCCACATATCTCCATAGCCATCGGAAAAGCAACCGGGGTTGCTCGAAAGCTTAATTCAATTATTAACCCATCATCATCATTAGACCCAGCAAGGAAAAAGAGAATTTATACAAGTATTCTCCAGTCTATTCTGACATACGCTTCATCGGCCTGGTGTACTGCCTCCAAAACTGACTTTCTCAGACTACAAACATTTCAAAACAACTTCTTGCGAAAGATCATGGGTATACCGTGGTTTATTTGTAACGAAGATTTGCATAAAAACCTCAAAATTGAAGATATAAAATCTCACATCAGAAGGATGAATAATATTTGTTTCACTAAAGCAGTCACTAACAACTCCGTACACTACGCAGACAACTTTAAATATGAATTGCTTGACGAAGATTTCAACTTAAGACCATATGCCATTCATCTATTTATATTTGACATTTAATCTTCCCATAATCTCGCATCCCAGTGCAACACCAACACAGATCATACAGGCAAGGGCCTTATTTTATATACTTCCTCAGGAAATTCACCCATTAGCGGCAAAAAAAATAAGGTTATACACACGTGATATACCCATTATGGGGCAAATAAGGTGCTGGTAAAAGCGCGACGAAATTCGCGCTGACACCAGCCCGAAAGACTAGTATCATAGTACCTATCTGTTTATTAAAACAAATATGTTCCAGTAAATAGATAGATGTATAGTAGATCGTAGACCATCGCGTTTTTAAGAGGTTTTCGACCCGTGAGGGCACTTTACCAATCTATTTTTGTTCCCATAATTGGGATAGCTTAAGTAGGAAGTTGAAAAATCCTGAGTGATCAGGATGTGTATAGCGCAATAAGCGTGTCATTACAAATCTTTCCTAAAAGAAGAAAATATTTTCATCATTTCCTGAGTTTTAGTTGGCTCCTGTGTCGCCATCTATCATCTATTCTGTAAGCTTGCCTTAAAGTCGGATTTAGGCTTAACTTCGCTTCTGGTGAAGAGATCTGCAATTAACTTCTGCGAACTTGATGATATACAAGTAAAGCAATTGATAGCAATAGCATAACTTTTCTTAGCAAATAAATCTTTAAACTTTTACAGAAAGCAATTGAAAATTTTCTCGGTAAAACAAGACTGAATGAAACAGTTTTAAGTTGACTGGGAAAAATGTACTGTCGAGAGCCAAACTATTGATGTGTTGGTCTATGGCTTGAAGAGTAATACCGCTCGGCAAGTAATGCTTAGCCTGTTTCGGTAAATTATAATATAATTTCTGCTGCTTTAAAAGCTAGTATTAGCTTACTGTGGGAATTGAGCTTCTTTAAATTTTTGTACTCTAGAGGAAAAGTTCTGTAGGAACTGAAATGTTTTCGGAGCTTTAAAAAACTGAGAATATTTCAGTGAAGTCTTTTGCTGGGGTTGATTTTGTTTTCATTTTTTTTTTTTTTTTTTTTTTTTTTTTTTTTTTTTTCTGTACGAGGGGTGGAAGGCTGTATTACTTTTGGGAACTTACTGTTTCGTTAGGTTAGGAAATTCTATTGAAGGTGGAGCTGAACTAGGTGGGTTTTTCTTCTTTATTTTCAAGTTAGTTGAATCTGCGTTTGTATATCTTACAACCTCCGTAAGAACTAACATGGAAATTCTGTACAAAAAAATTCACTTAGGTTTCTGCTCCGGTTTAAGTTGACAAGTGTTTGATCTATGGCTATCTCCGCATTTTACGCATCGTACTTTATTAAAGCAGTTGGCTTGGCAATGCCCGAATTCTTGGCAGTTGAAGCCCTGAATTGGTCTTTTTCTGGGTGTGCATTTTCCAGTTATAACGTTAAAGCTGAATATTCTATTGACGTTGTGAATTGCTTCGCCTTCCTCAGATCTTTCGAGTTCCATAAAAAATATTGGGAGTTTTATCATTTTACCTTCTATTTTCTTCGTAAACTGTTTTATTTTAATGATGGGGAATTTGCGGTTTTCTAGATATTGCTGAATTGCTTGTTCTGTGATTGTACTCGAAATGTTTTTTAGGATAACTTTTACTGTGTTTTTGGTATTCAACTGATAAGTGTGGAAATTTAAGTCAGTTTTTTGGAATTTTTCTACTGTAGCTTTGAAATCTTGTATGGTGGATGTTCTAAGATATATTTTCCGAGTTTTCATATCTGCTTCGTATTCTGCTTTGCAAGTGTTTGCGAGGAGCTGCTCTACTGACATCCAGTCAGTTTCCAGGTCAGTGATGACTATGAGGGGAATATTTTCTGCAGTTTCTGGTTGACTGTTAATGTCCATTTGCTCGGTATTTGTTTTATCCTCTTTAAAAATTTCAAATCTGTTCGTTTGTAGAATTTCAGAGGTTTTTAAAGTTTGCGGGATTTTAGCTGTTTTCTTTGGGGAAATCCATTTGCCGATATTTTGAGTTTTAATTGGTTTTACTGTTTCTGTGGCTTTAAGGGCTGCCTCTATTTGTCTTTTCAGTCTAACATGATCATGGAAAATTGTCCTATTTTCTTCGGTAGAAATCATTCCCTTATCAGCTAGGTCCATGGATTCTGTAGCGCGTTCTTTAGATTTTTGTTTGATTTCATTTAAATAAACATGGGAAAACTTTCCTATATTATATAAACTTTCCTATATTCGGTCTGTTCTCCTATACTTGTCCATAATGGCTTTAAATTCCTGTTATTTAGGGCAGTTAGTCTTTTCTCGTTTTCGTTTAGTCTGCTTTTAGTTTTCTTATCGGTTGGGGTTTCTTTAACAAAGTCCTGCATTTTGTACTTATCACTATGCTTGGAAGAAGTTGAGTAATCCTAAAAATCCGATTCAGTTCCGTTATCATCACTATTATGCTGGTTTGTCCATAATGGATCCGGTAAATTTAAGTTTCATTGCTGGCCATCAAGGAGAACAAAAATTTATGCTTACCGACGAGGTCTGGATGAGCTAAGAGAAAACTGAACCTGGCTCCTAGAGCTCAATGTTCAATACGAAATTTTCGATTATTCTTTATTAGACTATGCGTAAAAACTGGTTTTTATAAATTTATACCAACATAATTAAATATTTGCCTCCTTTCAAAAAAAAATATTCGGTCTGTTCTCCTGTACTATTTACGTTCATTACGAATTTGGGAAAAATGTTCAATGAAAGCTTAAAATTTTATTGAAAGAATATACTTAGTGCACTTTGTAGGCATTTTCTCAGCATAATCAATAAAGATCAAGCTACGAAGAAAACGTTTACATTTTCGAATTCGCATTTAAAAATTATCTTAGAGTACACCACTAATTGCAAGAAACTTATAGCCACTGATGCATAAAAAGATATGATATATAATTCTTATATTTCTGTTACATGGTGTTTCTATTGAATAATTTAGTATTTTTCAACAATTTGCAAACAGTTTGGATCAAAATGTATATGTTGCTTTTTGAAAAAGAGAAATTAATTTCAGTGTAATGATTCAAATGATTAAACGTAAGCACCTAATACCTGGCATCTAATATTATTTCGCAAATGTAAACTAACGAATATTTTATTTCTTTGATGCATTCAGAGAGCGGAATTACTGGGTATTCACCGTACCGTGCATGCTGGAGAAGCTGGTCCTGCTTCCAACGTGAGCATTGCAATAACGCAGATGTTTGCAGAAAGAATAGGACACGGATATCATGTTCTTGATGATCCCGAAATATATATGGCTTGTCTGAAGAAAGGAATCCATTTCGAAACGTGTCCATATTCTAGCTGCCTCACTGGATCTGTGCCTCGAGCAGAAATCAAGCATCCAATAATTAAGTGAGAAAAGTGTTATTTTTGTGTGCTCGCAGTGTTGCGAAATGTATGCATACATTCACAGTAGCTGAGTTACATTACCTGTTCGATTCTGAAACTAAAACAGAAAATGTTTTTTCAGTTGCATGTTTTTTCAGTTGCATTTAAATGTTAACAAGGAGGCTATATTTTCTTGAAAAACGCGTGCCTATCTTCGCGTTACTGGAGCTGTTTTGAAGATTCTGAAGACTGATAAATCTCCGAATCAATGTATAAATTTTAAGAACTAGTCTCTATAGGAAAGAAAAAGCATGAAAGAATAAAATTTATTTGAAGAAATTTGTCTTGGAAATGTACAATAATTTTTTCTCATGTTACTGCGGTCTACAGTTGCGTCAAAAGTAAACAAAAATTGGAGGTAAAGTAACTTCAGTTCAGAAGTCAAACAACAAAAATCAGCGTTATATTTACAAAATTTTCACAAGACTAGTTTCGATGGTTTTACCGAACCACCATCTTCAGCTGCAAAACCGCAAATGAACAAGATAGGAAATAATGATTAGATAAGATAAGAAAGCCTGGACAAGAATAAGCAAGTGGCGCCATCTGTTGGTGAAACCAGAACTAAAACATAATTTCTTTAAAGGCCGAAGGCAAATTTGGATTGGAATTAGGATCGTTAACTAGAACAGAAAGATTTTTATGAATGTGAAATGCCTCTAGAAAATCCAGTTCTCCAATGGAAGATGTTTTTTGAATAATTTTGGCAGCAGAAAAACTGAAAGTGTGGTTTTCGGACCAACAATGTTGAGCAACAGAAGACTTCTGTGTTTCCTTTTTTCTAACATATGCCTCATGTTCCTTGACGCGAAATTTTAAGGCTATCTTAGTTTGGCCAATGTAAATTAAACCACACTGGCAAGGAATCCTATAAATACCCCAGGAATTCATATCCGGAATGGGGTCCTTGAGTATGGAACTCGGAATTTTATTGATGGGAGAATAAACAACCCGAAAGTTAAATTTCTGCAAAATATGTGCAACTTTATAGCTAATTGATGGAAAGAAGGGAATGACAACAGAATTTTTATAATCTCCTAAAACAAGAGTGTGCCTTTTAGTGTGTTGAGATGAGAATTTTTTAACTGCTTGATTAATAATGTTGGGTGGAAAGCCCCTGTCAATAGCTATTGCTTTTAAATAATTTAGTTCTTTATCAAGGGCTAGTTTGGAGGAGCAAACTTGAAGAGCACGGAAAACATAGGAATAAAATGAAGCTAACTTTTGTTTAGTCGGATGACATGATTTAAAGTGTGGTGGAAGGCAAACCGATGAAGGTTTACGGTAAACCGTAGTACCGAAGTTGGATGTGTTACGTGTGACCAGAATGTCGAGAAACGGAAGAGAATTTCAAGTCTCAAGTTCAAAAGTGAACTGAACAGCAGGATCAATAGAATTCATTGTTGAAAGAACTTTATTTAAATCATCTTTATTACCTTCAAACAGAGTAAAAGTATCGTCTACGTAGCGGAACCATGCCGGGAAGTTTAAAGTTTCAAACAATTTTGATTCATAATAATGCATGTAGATATCAGCCAGGATGGGACTGAGGGGGCTTCCCATGGCTAATCCCTCAGTTTGCTTGTAATATTTATTTTGGAAAACAAAATGTGTTTGTTTCAAACAGAGTTGAGTGAGAGAAATTAGCTCATCAATTTCGATGCAAGAGAAATGAAATTCGCGAAGTCTGGTTTCTAGACATCTTAATGCACCCTCCACTGGGACATTGATGAATATTGATTTTACATCAAAAGAAACCATGAGTAAATTACTAGGAGAAATGTTTTTAACTTTTTTTACAAAGTCTATTGCATTTTTTATGGTGTAAATGTTATTGTCTAATAGAGTTGAAAATCTAGAAACTAAATATTTAGCTAATGGATATGAGGCAGTACCTAAATTCGATACAATAGGGCGGAAAGGAATACCACTTTTATGAATTTTGGGAAGAGCATATAATCTGGCACAATTCTCAACAGATGGGATAAGTGAATGTTTTAAGTTGCCTGAAATGATTTGCGAAGATTTGATCGCAGTTTTTATTTTTGACAAGTCCGAAGGTGAAGGATCTTTAGGGATCGGATTATATGGTCCTTCGTTTAAGAGTTCAGTGACACCATCGATGTAAGTGTTCCTATGCATGACGACTATCTGGCCACTTTTGTCGGCCTTTGAAATAATAATATCCGGGTTAGAATGAATTTCACGCAAATTTTACGCACGGGGTGATTCCTTGCCAGTGTGGTTTAATTTACATTGGCCAAACTAAGAGAGCCTTAAAATTTCGCGTCAAGGAACATGAGGCATATGTTAGAAAAAAGGAAACACAGAAGTCTTCTGTTGCTCAACATTGTTGGTCCGAAAACCACACTTTCAGTTTTTCTGCTGCCAAAATTATTCAAAAAACATCTTCCATTGGAGAACTGGATTTTCTAGAGGCATTTCACATTCATAAAAATCTTTCTGTTCTAGTTAACGATCCTAATTCCAATCCAAATTTGCCTTCGGCCTTTAAAGAAATTATGTTTTAGTTCTGGTTTCACCAACAGATGGCGCCACTTTCTTATTCTTGTCCAGGCTTTCTTATCTTATCTAATCATTATTTCCTATCTTGTTCATTTGCGGTTTTGCAGCTGAAGATAGTGGTTCGGTAAAACCATCGAAACTAGTCTTGTGAAAATTTTGTAAATATAACGCTGATTTTTATTGTTTGACTTCTGAATTAGTATTTATTCGGCGTGTTATTGTGTCTTAATTAACTTCAGTTCCATTTTAACTAATAGTACGTAAAGCTAATAGTGAAGATGTATGGAAAAAAAAAAAAAAAAAAACTCGGGAATTTTCTGCGCGGTAAATTTATATGAATGTTAACGCATTCATAATTTTTAGGCAAAAGGATAATTTTGAGAATATCTACACTTCATTCAATTTTAATTTAAATTTTTCTTCTGCACAATTTACCTATACAATTTTGTCATTTTATAATATAATTATATTAAAAATGCCAGAAAGTGGCTGATTAATAATGCCCATGCATAAGTGTATGATGCATAAGAAGTTGACTAAATATACAGTCAAAAGTCTTTAGTCCGGACTCGTCGGGACTTCGGCGATTCCGGATTATCGGGTTTTCCGGATTATAGATCATCAGTTTAAATCTGGTAAGATGGCATGCAGAAATTATAAAATTAAAAATATGAAACCGTAATTTATGAAATAAAGAGCAATTATGATCTAAAGGGTATCAAAATAAAAAAAAAGCTTAATATTTATTTGTTTACTTTATTAAACATTTCTTTTAACGCGCGCGTGCGTAAAGCATACATTACACATAGTCGAAATTTGCAACTAGAAAACTATTTGATGTGTATTCGTGATATTTATAATGACGAGGAATTTGATTTAAATCATATCAAAGACGGAGTACATCGAGATGAAATACTACATTTAGTAAGAAATTATAAGCCGAATAAAATAAAAACATCTGCTCTGAAGATAAGGATAGTGCTGACAGATCAACTTCCAGTTCTCTGCGCGTCGCGTCTCCCCCCCCCCCGTCGCAGAGCAGCGTGAAATTGATAAACATATTTCGGAATGGTTAGAGAATCAAAGGATACGCCTTTATCCACTTTTTTCAGCAATTACACTTTTTGTTTGATGGACATCGAAACATGCTTTCGCTTTGTAGATCCTTTGGTAGCTTCAGAATCGGAAATTCTTTTTGACATAATCGAAAGTTCAAGCTTACTTTTATAAAATTGCTCTAACAGTCTGCAAAAAATAATAAGCCGGATCCAATTAGAAGATCAAGTAACAAGATCAAGTAAGCAATCTGCAACATCAACTGAAATAGATAATTAGATAATTTTAGCTTAGCTTATACCGTCCGTTATACATTAAACGCGCATGCGTAAACGTATTACGCGCATGCGTAAACGTATTATGTTCATGCGTCAACGCATGCGTTGACGCGTGCGCAGAAAGTTTTTAGCTTTGAGGTCCGGATTACAGATCATTCCGGATTATGGACGTCCGGATTAAAGACTTTTGACTGTATTATAATTTTGTGGTCTTTTTTCCTAGTTTCGGTTTATTATGTTAAAATTATTAGAAAAAGGTAAACTTGAGGACATAGAATTTGATATTTTAACAAAATGCTATTGTTAATTTTAAAAATTGAATTCCAATGAGCAAAGAGAAATTTACTTCTTATTTTTATTGTATTTTAATTTATAGTAAATAACTTTGCTTTTATAACAAAATTTTCCGTAATGAAATCAAAACTATTTGTAAGTCTAGATAGATCCATGACATGGTTATTTCCCTACTTAAAGTTAATATTTTATTTTATTGTTTCCTACATAAAACTGACATCCTTTTTCTCAGAGAGTTTTAGCTTTTCTTTCGGTCCATAAAGCAATTTTTTAAGGAATTTTTCTTGTTATAGTTCGTATCTATTCCCAGCAGAAATTTCTGAAAGTGCGAATTAAAAATAAAGCCTTTTGTTATTAATTTTTCTTTGCTTTGAAGGTTCGCAGAGGACGAAGTGAATTTCTCAATCAGCCGAGATGATCCAACAATTACACAGAAAAGCATCGACGAAGAATACGAATTTTTGCGCGGGCTTGGACTCAAGGAAATTCATATAATCAGGGCAGTAAGTAATTTGCACTTTTTTTTTTTGGTTAAAAATAAGTCAAATTGCAGAGAGAAAATAAAGAAACAAAACAGAACATTTTTTTTTTTTTGAAAAAATACTTGAAAATAATTTCAATATACAATGAGAGTTGAAAGCATGTTAACGTTCTAAAACACAGATCATAAAGACCTTTTCTAAATTTCCAAGTAAAAAAGACCACGATGAAAGCACGAGTGTAGGAAGTAAATTATTTTAAGCCTTTTACGAAAAACTGATGCAATAAATTTAGAAAATATGATTAATTAAAAAAACTATTTTAAGAAACTATGCAGTTAATTCGCATTTATAATCCAAAAATATGAAAGCCTCGAATGTTTATCTCAAAAGCTTCTTCAGCAAATTAATATTTTTTTGCATATTTTGGGGCAAATGTTTGTGATGCGCAAGTATCATTACAGTATAATCAACTCTGTCTCTCTTCTTGCTCCTTGACGCCGAAAATGTTTTCTTTTATCTTGTAAGGAGTTTTCTTCTTTCTTAGCGTGTGCGTTTGGTGTAATTGGAAGCATGTATAGCTACAACCTCAGTGTCCAGCTACAAATCAGAATGTTGTTCAGTCTGCAACGAAACATTTTTAGGGCTGTTAGCATTTTAGAATTTATCAATTATCAGTTTACACTGTAAGAACATTTTTTATCATCGATTTCTGAAAGATGATACATTTAACGATGGTAGCCGTAGATATTATTCCAAAATAATATTCTACCAAGATGAAATGTCTTCTTCTTAAATGGTGTTTGTATCTTGAAATACCATTAATTAGGTATTTTATTAGTTATCATGTTCTTTTTTTAGGCCTACCACTAGTTATCTTGTACATTGATTAAGCCGCTATAGCTAATTTGTACCTCAACGAGCATAGTGCGGGAGTTTACCTTTAGAGTTAGGAAAAGTATTTCAAATACGATTGATTTGTTTACAAAGGCAGTAATTTCAATTTATAATATCCTTGGCATTCCAGCAATCAGCTTCAGATGCATACTTGCTAGATTAGTTCCGTTACACCTGAGATACTGTAGGGAGTCGTTGTGCGTCGCTCTGATATAGTAGTGAAACGCATTCCTATGTGGATTCCGAGCTCTTGTTTGTGTGCAAGATTAACAGTGTTTAGTTTTTATTTATATATGAACTAAAAATTTTCTCAATGTCTGCCTCTGCTAGTTTGCGCTGTAAGTGTATAGCCCTAATTCGTTTTATTATATATGTGGCAGTTTTATCATGCCCAGTGAAAGGACAAACATCAGTCCAGATGTTGGGCAAGCATATTTTGACTATTTTAAAGGGAAAATTGGTGATGAAGATAAATTATGGGCCCGTCGCAAAGTGTGCAAGCAGTGTTTCGAGAGTTTACTGTTGCGGAGGAAGAAAACAGTTTGTAAATTTCACTTTGGTATACCTATGATTTGGCGAGAGCCCAAAGATCACTTAAATGATCATTACTTTGTCCAGTGAAAATGTCAGGATATAATAAGAAGAAACAAATCCAAAATAGAGTATCCTAGTTTACCATCAGGCTATACGTCCAGTATCTCACTCAGCTGAACTCCCAGTTCTAGTTAAAGAATTACATTCCTTGGAAATACATGAATACGATTATGGTGACTATCGAATTGACCCGAACGACGAAGATTTTGAAACTGAAGATGATTCTGTTCGTAAAGAATTTGATTAGCATGAATTAAAAGATTTGGCATGAGGTTTGGGACTATCCAAAAAGGCTTCAGAGCCCTTAGCACCAAGACTGTACGAGAAAAACTTGCTTTAAAAAGGAGCTAAGATATACTTTCGAACAAGAGAAAGTGCGTTTTTGCAGTACTTTCGATATGATAATGTATTTTTATATTGTGATAACGTACATGGTTTAAGGGAAGAATTCGGAATTTCAGCTTATTGCTTAAAAGGGAGCTTAAAGTTTATCCTCCTTCACAATTAAAATATATTTGATGCAGTCTCAATAGGCCATTCAGTTTGTATGTGTGAAGAATATGAAGACATAAAGAGAATCATCGATTTGTTGCAATATCACATGCATCAATGAATCATCTGCTTTGATTTTAAGATGATCTGCTTCCTTCTTGGCCAGCAGTGTAGATATACAGTAAACTCCCTCTTAACCGGCCTAAATTGGACCGGCGTTAAGCCGTTTAAGCAAAATTCAGGCTAAAGAGGAAAAAATATAAATGATGGAAATGGACTTTTATAAAGTAAGCATTTATTAAATGTGTCATGTTGATCTTCTCTGCATCCTTCAAATTTTACATATGTGTACTGCAAAAATTTATTACAAAAGTTTTACATACCATTAGTAGAAACGTTTAAAAAATTCAGTTATTTATTCTGCTAAAGGTTGGAAACTCCGTGACTTTCTGCATAATTTCGTCATTTTTTTAAAGCCTCAAATCGTTGGAAGAAATTGTTAGCTGTTGTTCCACGTAGCATAAAGCCATTTTTAATGCTGTTGCTCTATTTACATGCTATATGACGGAGGTCGCATTGTCATAGATGTCGGAGTCATCGGCATCGTAAACCACATCAGCGAGAGCTCCGACGATGTCGTCATTTGACAAAGTTTTTTGAAGATCCAGCGTTCAACCATCGCTTTATGTCTTCAACATTAACATCTTAACATTCACTAAGACATTTGTATGACGACACAAAGTTGTTAGTAGAAAAGTCTGTCTTTTCAGCTGCGGTGACTGTCTTTCCTTCTGCGATTCTTTGATACAATGGCCAAATTTTCACCCAAGATTTTTATAATTATAGATTAGGCAACCTCTGACCATGACTTAGCTATCATATAAATAGTTTCCTTTATATTAATTGATTTCAATACATCCATGATGCTTAAATCAGAGTTAGCTTCCTCCCTGAGAGCTGTCAAAAATTCTCTTCGATACCGTCTTTTGAAATTTTCTATCACAATTTTGTCTATGGGCTGTAATAGAAAGGTTACATTAGTTGGCAAGAAGACTGCCCTCAGTATCACCCACTTTTAGTTCATTTTTGCTAGAAAGAGAAGGAGCATCATCCAATCAAAGCTGTGCTTTGACTGATATGTTTTTTGACTTGAGATGTTTTGTCATAGCTAGAGCAAACTCAGAATGAAACCATTCATCGAACAGCTGCTGAGTCATGTAAGCAGTCTTTACAGCTCGATAGTGCAATGGCAGGTACATGACGTTAATAATTTTAAACGCTGTTGGCTTTGCAAATTTGCCAACAACCATTAAAGGGAATTTATGGGTTCATGCAGGGTTGTCGCATACAGACAAAGTCACTGTCTGGTGCAGCGGCTTCTTTTCTAGACGCTAATGCTTTCTCTGGAAGCAATCAGAACAGTTTCATCCACATTATAAATTTGAATATTATCCTATATTCCGGGGCACTTTTATTTTTGAATTAAGAGGAGTGTGAGATACCGCTAATAAAGTGTTTCTTTTTTTAAATTTATTTACTTTTAATTTCGTATTTAAAGTACGTAATTACGGAATTTTCAAGTTTTTGTAATATTTTTTCTTATTTTTTGATTTTCCTACTTAAATTAATTATGGCCGGTTAAACGAAAGTCAGTTAAGAGGGAGTCTACTGTACCAAGTATCTCTTTTTTTGTATATGTGGGACAGAAGAATTGTGAGAAGCATTGAATACAATCGAACTGGCCGCCATGATTTGACCTGAAGCCTAGTGATCCAAACATCCAACATTAGCCACTTGTCGACAGAAAGAACATTTTATTTTCACTTCTGCAAACGAAACGGGGTCATATGAAGCAATTTGTTAAAACTTTGCCAAATGAAGAACACTGATTCAACTATCTCATTTTGCCATTTCCTAGCTTGTAATTAGAAAAGATAAAGGCTGGTGTGTTTGATGCTCCGCAGATTCAGCAGCTCCTTAAAGATGAGGAGAGGCTCAACCACTCGAGCCTTACAAACAACCTTTTGAGAACTTCAAAATGCTTGGTTACAACATGAGTATCAAATAGCATTTTTTACATAGACATCTTGAAAATTTTCTGAAAATTCTTGGTGCAGTCAGTATAAAATAATATAATAACCGTCAAGATTTCAAGTTATCCTAGAAGATTTCAAGTTAGTCAAGAAACATTAATTCAGTTCAAATCACACAAATCACCAACGTAAATGAACATTACGAATCAGGATTCAAAACTTCCAAGTTTATTGAAGTCTAACACACATTCAACTGGCGCTGCCAGATCCAAGAAGTATGCACCATGAAAAATTTACGCCCTCTTTGACGATTAAAATATATTTCCACACAAAATTTCTTACAGTCAGTGATGAACAGGTGAGCGACTCCAGCAAGATCTGAAGGCCGTGGAGGCGCAGTACCATGGTAGATGGGATAAACATATGATGGCTGACTGTTCTTGGAGCATTATGCGGGAATGTCTACATTTTTAACCAGAAAAAGCCGTAATCGGAAATTTGTATCTAAACATGTATGCTCATCGTTTGGTAAAAAAAAAGTTTACTGCTTGTGTGAAAAACTCGAGCGAATTAATTAATTAATTGAACTCTTTTAAGACAAATAGAAAGTACCCATTAGCTTAAAATGTTGACGTGATAGACAAAAACTGAGGGAGATTATTTTTGGATTTAGAATGAAAACCTGGTCACAAACAAGTGACAGATCTAAATAACGGCTTGATGCTCCCCAGTGTTATTAATGAATATTATTTGCATTCAAGTAAAAATGAAATATAGATTTATTTATACTTCCTTCGGAGGTTTTGAAAGCTTATAGTAAAATAACTATAAAACATACAGGAAAAAGTGTGCATAGTAACGCATAAAAAATCTCTCCAAGTTTGCATTTGGAATAGGTATCATGCAATTTTAGTTTTAGTCGCTAAGTATCAGTTATAACGCTAGGCGGCAGAATAATGAAAGAATGACAGTAGCTGCATTTTATCACACAAATTATCATGTGTCTTATTACACAATTATTGCTGCATCTAATCCTCCAGATTTTATGCATCTTGTAGCAATTCGTGAGTTGACTGTGAGAGCATAACACAGTTTTCGTACGGATATCAAACAGAAGCGTCTATAGGCAAGCTAATATGTGCTTAAAATAATAAAATTAGTACAAAATAAGTACAAGAAGTCTGGTTGCCTATACGATGAAAAATGAACATACCTTTAGTACCATTAACTGAAATCGAGGTCTTCTCTTCACAAGGGATGCATTAATCGAGCAGCTGAACATACAACTGCTCAATACATGCCGATCTTGGGAAGATTATGTAGTGAAATGCAACACTTATATTTATCATAGTTATATTAAATTTTAGCAAACCCGAAAGAATTATGAATACCCTGAATATTTTAAAAGTTTTTAAGATACATAGGATTTCAGATACATAGGATTTTATACGATTTAAGATAGATCCTATAAGAATAGGATTTGAGATTATGAAATTCCTGACAAAAGCTGCAATTAATCTCGTGGTAAGTTATTATTTTTATATCTTATTTCTTCATTAATTTTTTTTTTAATTTTTAGAATTTTAATGCTGCTCGTAACTGCTTCTTGCCTGAAGAGGAGAAAAGAGAATTGATTGAGCAACTGATACGCATCTGCGGAGCTCAAGAAAACAACGGCGTCAATAATACTGACCCACCTTGTATTGCCGTGAAAGCCATGTCTGGAGGAGGAGATTTTTAATCCACCAAATGGCAAAATTTTCCTCGTTTTTATTAATGGCTATTTTAACTTTGTCGTAACACAAAGAAGTATTTTATCGATATGGCCAAATTTTATTATTATGAAATTTTAGCTTTTCTGAATTTTAGTAAAAGGATTATATTTGTTCCATTTTCATTACTTATTTGCAGCTTCATTTGTTACACAGACTGATATAATTTTTGCAACATTTTTTTGGTTAATTGTCTGCTATATTTTTATAATTCACCTTATGCTATATTTTTATAGTCAGATGACTATTAAGTGTTTACATATTCTGCTATAAATTGTAGATGTGTAAGATACATATTATGGAGGTCTAACTAAATTTTTGGAGCATCTTAATGAATACAAATTTCATGATTCAAAATTTTAAACGATAATGTTTGTGAAGTGAGAAATATATGCTAATTAAAGGGGAAAAGGATTAATTCAAATTATGTAGCAGTGATTGCTAAATTTATGAACTTCATGACTGCATGTATTCTGTCGATATCTTCTTTACGGTATCCGCCGAAAACATCGCGGACGAAAGCGTAGCGAAGAAAACAACGCAAAGCGAACGCAACGCAAAACGTAGTCACACAAAACATCGTGGGAAGAAAGAAAGCAAAGAGAAAACATCACAGTTCTAAAATTTTGTTGTTCAAAACATCGTCATGGAAAATGAAGCGGATCAAAAGCGTCACATTTTAAAAACATCGTCGTCGAAAATATACTGGTAAAAAAATAAAGCATTTACAAATCATTGCATGATGGTAACATCGCAGACAGAATTTTATAGCATATAGTATGTTTTCAGGCTTTGAAAATTCCCTTATTCGTATGATTATTTGTGAGTGCAAGAAGGAATGAGGAATATTTTTACTTTGATATTTCATACTTTTGAATCAACTAATAAATTTTGGCTGAAAAAAATAAGATGGAAACTAAAGCATTCAAAAACTGAAAATGTGTAGGAAAATAATGCTACGTATAGCAGTTCAAAATTATATAGTTAAGTAAAAAAAGTCAATAATTAATTAATCTTTTGTATAAAGTTTTATTGGTAATTTTTTATGAAAAATATAGTCTAAAAATTATTAGAAAAAGGAAGATGAGAAACTGCATGCGCACTTTTAAAAGTGTTTAATTAATTATCAAATTATAAAATTCTGTTAACTTGGATAAATAGCATTAATTTTCTACTCATTTTCAAGTTTTTAATGTCTAAGTTTCCTTCTTATTTTCAGCGAAAAATTATTACTTCAAAAATATGAAAGTAAAAATATTGCTCCCTACTTTTTGCGCTTACAAATCAGTATGCGAATATACATTTACAACCTTTAAAGCTTGGAAAACGTGTGTCTGCGATGCCATCGTCATTCGATGACTTGTAGGTGCTTTATTTCTACAGGATATCTTCGACGAACATGTTTTTAAACTGCGAAGTTTTTGAACCGCTTTATTTCCGATGACGATGTTTTGTACTACTATGTTTTAGAGCTGCAATGTTTTCTGTCGCTATTTTTTTCCCTTTCAATGATGTTTTTTTGCTAACGACATGTAACCCTTCTTTACAATGTATTTATATCTTCATGAAACAGAAATACATTCATTCGCAGTTGTATTCAATTCATCATTATGCAATCATCAGTCAATTCGCCATTATGCAAGATATGACCTTGTTGTAGTAAAACATGAAATTTATTTTAATGGAATAAAAATAATGTTAAATGCTGAAAATAATTTGTAAACCGAAGACTTGATTGCAAATGTTAGTAAATAAAACGTGTTAGCTTAAAATTTGGTTATGATTAAACTTTATACTTTTGGCTTATTGCAAAAAATACAGAAAGCATTTTGACAAAAGTATTTATTTCATGTCACCAATTTTCGGGAATATATACTTTCGGAAATATATATTTTATATAGGAGTGTTAAGATTTTATGTAATTTTAAGATGTCTGTTGAAGTATTTGCATTAGATGGACTGTTTAGAATTTTTTATATTATTATTTACTGTTATTTAAGCATTAATTTAAGAACATCAGATGAAATTAAACTGGAATATGTATAGAAATTGACATGTGTCATGTTATGAGAATCATGGTACTTCTTTATTTTTCAAAAATGCATTTTGCATTTTTCGATTAGAAAACATTGCGTTTTGATTTCGTATTTTATATCTAAAGCATGGAAGGACATGTTTTTCTAAAGTAATATGATTTTTTTTCTAAACAATTTTTTTCTTTATTATAAATATGACACGGATTTTATTTCAAAATTATATCATACACAATAACAAAAGCAACATTAAATAAGCAAATAACGTGTCTCACATACGAGAAGTTCTTATTTACTTTACATACATCACACTCTAATCATTACATTTCTTTTCATTTATTACTGACATTTTATAATTCTAAACCATCCAAATTATATTTAATTTTATTTATTCAATTTCAAGGATAAACAATAGTGATAAAATATTATGTACCGATATTATCAAGTTTTTAATTATGATTAATTTAAATGGGAAGAACATGAACAATTTTTACAAATGTTTAATACCCAAGTTCTTTGTTTTGGAAGTTTTGAGCAATTCAAATGCTTTTTTAGGTGCTGTTAATAAAAATATTAAAATACTCTATTACATAAGAAAAACCTTTGAGTATTTTAGCACGGAAAAAATCTGTGTTAAACTTTATTCAAAACAAATCTGAGCTTCAAATATAATATTTAAATAATAATTTGAAGTATTATATCTGAAAATGACAAGTTATTACATCTCCAGAGGGTTTTTCAGGAATTCTTTGAACTTTAGGCTCCCCCCCTTTTTTTTGTTAAATTTGAAATAATCAGAAACTTTTCTCATTCTGTTTAAATTATTTTCAATTAATAGATGTTACTGAGAAAATATTCAAAAGTTGAAGAATATGATAGCGACAATTTTTTCTCCATATTATGACATATTTTTTTCAAGACAAGCGAGAGTGTTCTTTAAGTATATATGTGTATAAGTTTTAATTGTTATCCCATTCTAAACTTTAGACGTACTATCAAATGCACATTTTATATAATAAATTTGATACTTATTTAATTGTAGTACGATCAAGTTTAATTTGAAATTGTGTGTATGTGTATATTGAAAAACATATGAAAAATTATGACTAATTTTAAATTATCTCTAATTTTGAGTTAATATTAGAATTGCATAATCATTTTGCACACTAAAATCATATACTAAAGTAGATTTCAAATTGTTTTAATCTTGAGCGAAAAAAATTACATTAAATTATTTGATAGCAAAACAGCATTGTAAGTTTTCTAATTATACTCCAAATTACATTAGTTTTATCTTGTTATACATAATAAAAATTCTCTTAAAAATAATTAAATTATTTAATAAAATTAAATTTCTCTTTCTACTACATCAACAGTTTAAATTATGAAGAGTAATCAAATTATTTTATTAGGTGATTTAGAATTTAATTTCGATATTTAAAATTAATATTTATTAATTATTATTTTATTATAATATTTATTAACTTTAGAAATCAGTGACTAATACATTTTAACTTTTATTTTGTAACTTTCTCACAGTATATCAAGCATTGAGAATTTGTTTACTAAATTTTGTTTTGAGAAAAGTACATGTTCAGAGCTATTAAAACACATCTTAAAAATCAGCGATTAACTGCAACAATTGATTGATATTCGAGTTGAATAAGTTTGGAAGATTCAAAATTTTAAATAACCACTCCCTGAACCATAAATGCCATTTCATTTACATGAGTACTGGTACAAAACTGCGAATGTTCTTTAACATAGCTATAGTATAAATATTCGTCTTAGAAATATAATTTCATTTTATATTGTTATTATAACAACATATTTGGTACATAGATCTTTAGCGCATTTTGTGTCACATATATCTTACCCACGAAAAGTTTTATTACATACCGATTGTGTATCGCACATAAAAGAACCTTACATTTTCGAAGCATTTTACAAAAATGGGGGAAAAGAGAGGGAAGCTTGCATAAAATACAGCTGTACATTATACGTATACATCTTTACATTCTAAATCTGTTCTAAAATTAAAACTTCTAATTACCATACCTTAGGATAAAGCTAAGTAAATATGCTTTTTTTAACACTGGGAGTTTATCATTGCGAATGTGAGATGAGCATGGTTTTTAGAAGGGCATTTTTTGGGTTTAGCCATCATCTCACTCAGATTTGAACCAATACAGTTTTTGATGATGCAACAAAACGTAACTGGACATAACAGATGAAAACTAGATGTCTTTTAATTTTCCACATCTACTATCTCATTTTCATGGGTTGATGAGGTATCACTGTCCTCATCATCCTCATCATAACCAGGATCTTGATCTCCGCTTTCGAGACCAGAATCACAAACGCTAGCTGGTGATTGAGGTGCGCCATCTATCGGGGAATAAATAAATGATGAATTCTTGTTGTTTTCGCAGCCTCCGCTAGAAGCGTGCGTTAGCGTGTGACGTCGAAGATCGCAATTTCTTCTGAATTCTTTTCCACAAGATGAGCAATTGTAAGGCTTTATATCGGTGTGTGTTAATAGATGTGTTTTTAAGTTACTTCTTTGATTGAAGGTTCGGCCACATGTGGCACACTTGTGAGGAGAATCTTCCATGTGGAGTATTCTATGTACAGCCAATGTTCTGGATTGGCAAAATCCTTTCCCACAGTCTGTGCACTTAAACGGTTTTTCTTTTGAATGTATGTACCTGAAATGAAGAGAAACAAAATATCAGAAGATATTTCTTCTATCACTTAGACTAATTTGCTGCAAATACTAAGATTTTAAGGTTGTTAATTTTAAAACTCATAAAAATATCCAATTCATTCTGCATATATAGATCTAGAAGAATTTAACATGACAAAAATTTAATTTTTCTGTTTATTTAAACAGGAAAAAGGGCGTACGGAATTTTTATTTAATATTTAATATCATAAAATGCACAGAGAATCCATTTAAAAAGTTTAATACACTTGATTATTCTCTTAATTACAATTTGGTTGTACAATCATTAGGATTTCTTTTTGAAGCAGGAGTTATGAAAAATGAGCAATGCCCTTGCCAGAACTCGAACCTCAGACCTCTCGAATACGCGCCGAGCTTGCTGACAATTACACCCCGAAGGCATGCTGAGAAGGCGGGAGAAATACTTTATATACGCTCCCTTTTAAAGGGCTACTAGAGATTAAGGGACCCAATCGCCAAATCCTCGCGGTGGAGAATCATCATCCACCACCTTTTTTTTTTTTTTTTTTTTAGATCGGCCGCCACTGTAGAGACACTAGGTATTTTTGCCGGGACGCGAACCAAGGACCTCTCGAATACACGGCAAACGTGCTGACTACTACACACGAAAGCATGCTAAAAAGGCGGGAGAAATACACTATATGGTATTAAAATATACATGGACGTTAAATTAATCTTGCACCTTAATTATGAGTAAAATTTTTTTTTATAACAAAAATGCCAAAAAGTTCAGTTATAAAAGAAATAAATTGATTTTAACATTAACAAAAATAGTGTGTTTCACCAAATCAGTAGGTTACAAACTATCACGTTGTGGGATATGTGATATAAAATTAATTTTTCTCTCAAGAAAGTTCTCATTGGTGAAAATGCTAAAAAACGAGTTATTAGGATTTTGATGTTTACTTCTTCTTTCCATATTCCTAGCCAGAACGCAAATTAGCTTAAGCTAAGGTTTTGGATCTTAGACAGAGAGAAAGTCTCTCCCATTTGAGTAGCTATGTTAAATTTTGGAAGCTGTATTATGTCCCAATAAAGTTAGCTGAGCCAGTTTATAGCTTAGTTCATTGCTTGCATAATCTTAGACTACTTTAACAGCATTTAAATTTTAGTATGTGTTATTGGTGAAATTACATGGCCATTGGCTATAGGTAGCACAAATTGTGCCTTTTTTTTATTAAATTTCAGTTTAATAAAAAAGTTGTTTAAACTTTCGCAAGTCTCTGTCATACTATTTCAGATATAGGTACAACTTGATAGTTGTCCAATAGGGTTGTAGAACTCTAATTCAAGTACAGCTCAATTGCAACCCTACATAATCGCAGTAGAATTTCGATTCCACATGTTAAATTTCGTGGAACTTCGACAGCCGCAGCTAGATTTTCCAAGACTCACAAATCCATACTTATACTCTTTAAAAAATAAAGAAAAATTTCAAGTAAATTGATGAGAGTTTCGCATTTTTGTGTAATTAATAGAGTTTCATAAAAAAATGCGGAACATTATTTATGCTGCTTTGATATCAGAAACGTATATCCCAACAAATTATAAATTTGAAACTACAATACGATGCATTTTAGCGTTATTATTTGAGGGTAAAAAAAAAAAAAAAAAAAAAAAAAAAAAAAACAAGAATTTACTTTTGGTTTCCTTTTTTGGTTTCCTTTATATCTCTTCGTTCATAATTGTTATTTGATTTTATTAGAACTGAACTGAAGTCGGAAGAATATGTACTGGTCTTTAGAAATACATATTGTTAAAGATTTTTCATTTGAATGAACAGTCAGTCACTCATTTCGAAGCTATTTCTGGAATTGTCTCAATAATTTTGGACATAGATAACCTACTACTTTTATGACATGATTTATAAATGCTGCTTTGGTCACATATTCCATCTGTATACCAGTCGAACTCTTTAGTGGTCTCAGATGTGAAATGGGAAAAAATGTGTTTCAGATGCAAAAAGGTGTAACTTTGGATTTTAGTGTGAGTGATTTCCAAAAATGTGAAGAAAATTGCATAAAACAGACCTAACAGGCTTAAGCATGGAGAATTTACTTCGAAGTTCACTCGTAAAAGGGGTAACCATAAAATGCACAGATTTGAAATTTTTCCCCAGTTTAAAAGAATTTCCACGTAGACAGCAATTTCCCTCCATTAAAGAGGTTTTTTCAGTAGTTACTGTAGCTAAATCTTCCAAACAATGGATCCCGACTATCGTTTTAAGCAACGAATTTATATAGAAAAAACATAAGCAGGAACTATCTGAAATAATGTTAACCGAAGGGAAGAACATTCGAGAGCATTAATATTAAATTACCCTCATATAGTATATTATGTGCTACCCCGATGGCCATTATCTGCTCTAAAAATACATGACTGTGATAGAAATTGGCAGAAATAGAATCATTTGCAATTCTCTTTGTTATTCTAACGATAAACTTGCGGCGGAAAGCTTGAAATCAATTAAATTGTTACATACATAATGTAGCTTAAGAAAGAAAATTGGCAATTAATAAAGAAATGCATCATTGGATTATTTCTATTTCAAAATGCAATTATGTGTCGAAATTAAGCTACTATTTATTGAGAGCAAGTCATATTTAAAAGGTTAAAGAGCCACAAGGTCTCGAGCCGCAGTTAAAGTGTCGAAGAGCAGCATGCGGTTCGCCAGCCGCAGTTTGGCCGTGCCTGTTATATACGCGGAAAAGAGGATAACTCTCGTAATACACTAAAAATTGCATAACTCTTGCAATAAAATACATATTCCTGGATCAAAACAAGATTTTTGTTAACAATAGTTTCTTTTTTTTATCATACTAAAATTATCTTTCAACAATGCTTTTTAATTTTCCAAACTTTGCGGAGAGTGTAATAGAATAATATATAGGGTATAATAGAATCTCGATCTGTCATTTTTCCAGTGTGAAAATTGAGAACGGTGAACGAGATTAACGGAGAAAACGATTAAGCCAGTAAATTTGCAAATGTAGAACATTTTGTAAATAAATTATATAAAAAACTGTACACTGTTTTTTGCTTCTTGGCTGTGCTTTTCCTTAATAGAAAACATGACACCTGGAGACATATTTAAAAATGTTTTCATTGTTCTCGTCACTTTCCTCTTAGATAAATGTTTTAACACTTTAGTAAACCGCCGTAAGTCTTAAATAAGCTAGGCTTCATTTTTTTTTTTTTTTTTTTTTGTTTTGTTTTCATTTTTCAGCCACTCTCCTGGTAGGCCTAATTTGAAAACTAACCCTAAAGCATCTCAAACTTAATAGGAACAGATTATAAAATTTAACATATAGGAACTTTGCACAAAGAAATAACATTCGAAGGTGAGGAAATACTATTATCGGCTAAGGACCAGTTCTTGGTTTCGAGGTTTTAGAAAACACCAAAATGATTCTTCCCACAATCCTGTTTATTATCTTAAAAGTCATAACAAAGGTCACTGAGGACTTCTGAAAGAGCGCCATGGTTGCTATCTTGATAAGGTCCTGCAGAAAAGGCGCTAATAACGCAGATGCAGAGCTGACGAACACGTGTAAAGCACATATAGAATTTGGGGGAAAAATATTAAAATTTTTGTTTTCAAATGAATGCTACACTTTAAACATAAATTACAGACTATTAATGTGATAGAACGAAAGGTTTAGGAAAAAATGGGACGAGAATAAATAACTTTATATGTGTAGATTGCAATATATATTTGAACATTCCGAAATTCGTTAGAGACCGGGCTTAATTTCTAAAATCAGAAGTGCCGGAGCCCTATGGAAGGCTACCAGGAAAGATAAGAGAAAATAACTAAAATAACCAATAAAATAATTAAAATTAAAATTCCCTTAAAAGAATTCCCTAAATATGACTACCTAAAAGAAGTAAATCAAAATTTAATTAAATTTATGATAAATTGCTAAATACTGAAATAAAATGCCAGATCTCGTCTTAATTGAGGTATTCCAGCTGCCATTCGCTAACCTCATTCAGACTAAGAAAAAAGCAAATGTTTAGCAGTAGAAATTTCTAGCAGCAGCTTATAATTCGAAATGAGAAATATCGTTTGTTACTTTTAAATTTATTCTTCTTCCAAAATGTCTCATGTAGACAAGCTGTGAATTGAAGAATATGTTTTTATTTTTGTGAAGAGAAATATTCCTATTCCATAATTCAAAAAATCTGATGTGTACACCACATGACTTCCTTGTATTGGAATATTAAATTATACGCATTTTTTCTTGCATTTCATTTCAACTTATTAGATTGAATTAAATCTACTTCGCCGACAGCGCATAAACCACAATAGAATAAATGCATTCTTTAAAATTAACTCTAGTATTTTTTTACCATAGCGACACTCTGGCGCTAGATTCACTTAACATTATTAATAATTATATAACAGTTAACTTATATAATAATTATGTAACGAAAAGTAAGTTAACTGTTATATAATCCAATAATTATATATAACAGTTAACGTATATATTTCGTTCATATTATAACTCATAATGCACAAAATTTATATCATTTGAAGAATAGAATTATCTAATCGTTGCCACATGTTCTCTTCAAATACTATAATAAAGCTAGAATGATGTATAAAAGAAATTAAGCAAACAAAACAAAAAAGAAACAGTTTTTCACAGACGATTGAGTATTTCTCATTTAATTAATTCAGTTCTCACTTCGCGAGAAGGCTAAAATACATAAAAACTCAAAATATCTATATTAAAAATTACGAAGTAAATCTCAAACACTTATTTCCTCGAAAAAATTCCAGAAAGAATTAAGCATAATTTAATTGGCAATAATAAATGAATGCGTTATCTTTGTTGTTGCGAAGCTATATTTCTCTATATTGGCAACGAATCCACTAGTCTTCTGTTTCAAATGTGAACATCAATGGCCGCCGTTAAAAACAAACTTAGCGGCAATTAAACAACTTTAAAATTGCTG